ATTACTTAGGCAATCTACATAACTTTCTGTGCAAGTTCTTGATTTCTATTTCACATATTAACTATTTTAGCCACAACCCTTTTCCTCAGAAAACCTCTACACCTTGACAGGAAGGGTTTTAACACTGGTTGTTAGCCAATCTTTTTCTGTTCATATATGTATAACAAGGGGAGGAACTAACTATTCGCCTCTGATCATATAAAATAATACTGAAATGAACTACAGGAACTGCAAACAAACGAGTTTTTGTCTTACGTGTATGTGTATATATATATATATGTGTGTGTGTGTGTGTGTGTGTATTACACAAAATCCCCTTAAATGTGTCCTCTCCATCTTTGCCTTCTACTTTTATTCTTTTCTTTCTTTGTATATGCTCACACTGACTTCTATTAACATAGGCAGCATCTTCCTGGCAAGTGCGCGCACGCATGTGTGTACATGTATGTGTCCGTCCCCTGGTGCTTGAATGCAGGGCCTGGGTACTGCCCCTTTGAGCTTTTCTCTACTAACTGAACCACAGCTCTACTTCTGACTTCCTGTGTGTGTGTGTGTGTGTGTGTGTGTGTGTGTGTGCTCGCGCGCACGCGCGCGCTTAATTGGAGATAAGTCCCTTATTGTCCTGCTTGGGCTATCTTGGAACTGCGATCATCAGATCTCAGCCTACTAAGGAGCTACAACTACAAGCATGAGCCACTAAACCCCAAGAACAAGTACCATTTTGAGAGTAACATGTTTTCTTTATATTCTCACACCTTTTTTTATAAATATCTTTCATTTTTACCACCAATTAATTCACCTAAGCCTTCTATTAACACTGATGTTGATGCTTCAACATCTGATATAGTCTAGGAACATTCTTCACCATTGCCATCCAAATGGTTTATGTATTTTAAAAAATCAAGTTTCAGCTTGACAGGCTCAAGGAAGCTCTTGGATGACATTGACATAATAATGTAATGGACACTAGAGTTTATTTCAACAACTAAATGTTTTAACAACACTTAACATTTAGTCCTATAAGCTCACAATTTTCTAAAATGTCCCTTAAATTTTCCACTTATTTTCTTATCACAGGGAAAATTATATTTCATAATTCAGTGACCCATTTCTTTACCTTGACACTTGTCAAGAAACGCATCACATATCCTACACATACATCAAAAGTTTCATCAGCTACCCTTTATTGGTATGTCTGATAGTCTATGCTATCCCCTAATCTACTTCATTTTGTAATAGTTTAAAAAACAGAGTCACAGTACCAAAAAGGGTCAATAGGTTTTATCTTTAATGCTAAATGTAATAGGTTTCATAAAGTGTTATGTTGAAGACTATGAGACAACAGCTGAATTCACAATAGACTATTTAACATGGTTAATAGTATTAATAAAAGGATATGGTCGTAATAATTTTGTCCTGATACTAACTGATGCTCATAATTACATAGTTAAAAGTGTTCTCTATAAGTTTCTCAAGGGTAAAGAATATCTATTATTAATTTAACATAAATAGGAAGCCACACATTTGTGAAATGGTAGATCTAAGTGAGATTCTACTTTCTATCAATATAATTAAAAGGCTGGAAGCTGGAGGTATGGCTCAGAGGTAGAGCATCTGCCTAGCAAATACAAAGTCCTAAGTTCAAAACTCAATTACCAAAAAACAAACAAAAAACAACATGGTGTTAAAGATAATCTTCCCACAAGAAGCATACTATTTACTAGCAACTATTTGTCTGCTTTAACTTGGAAAACAACTTTTTCTGCAGAGATGAGTGCATTGCAGATAGTTAGAAAAGCTAATACAGAGACGGTAGTTACGTTATAGACTAAAACAAGAGTGAAGCTAGAAATAATCTTCCAAACAGTTTAGACTTATAGTTTAGGTAGAATATATAAAATAAAGTAGAAAAATGTCAACTTCTTTAGCACACTGAAGATGTATCCAACAGCAAGCTATCTATTATAAATCCATAAATCCATTTATAAGCTATCTTTATAAAAGCTCCATCTATAAAACACTGCTAAAATAACATGTGACTTGATGTATCATCTTTTATATGAAACCATTAAATGCAAAATATAAAAGCCTTTACTTTCATTATGGAGGTCAATGTGTGCTCCCGAAATTACATGTGACTTTACTTAAATAACTATCCTTAAGGAATGGATGAAAGTGTGTGTGTGTGTGTGTGTGTGTGTGTGTTATGGAGGTCAATGTGTGCTCCTGAAATTACATGTGACTTTACTTAAATAACTATCCTTAAGGAATGGATGAAAGTGTGTGTGTGTGTGTGTGTGTGTGTGTGTGTGTGTGTGTGAACTGCTTACCTTAGCCTCTAATTCTACTATGTCTATTAGAGATACATATTATTTCATGACTGAAACTGCTGCTTCCCTCCAACCTACTTACATACTTAAACATATATTCTGTAACTTGAATTGAAACTTATAGTTGCACATAACTAAAGCACTTCATTGAAAAACTGGAAATCTAAACTCCCATTCTCTCCTTTAGCTGTCCAGTCTGAAATGAAGTTACTTAACCCTCTCTGTGCCTTAGCAGGAATAGCATTATATCAGTATTAAATTAATAAATTCCATTTAATTTCTCAGAAATTAATTTCTAAGGATAAAATGGATAAGATAAAATGGGAACTGCTCTAAGGATAAGATTAAAAAGGATAAATATATCTTAAAATGTGTTATCAATGTCCACCAGTGGCTCATGCCTGTAATCCAAGCTACTTGGGCAGCTAAAATTGAGACAATCCAGGTTCAAGGCCAGTCTGGGCAGAAAAGGTTGAGACCACTTCTCAATTTACAGCTGGGCACAACGGCATCCACCTTTCAAGGGCTACATGGAGACTGAAATTTTGGATCAACTCGTATGAAGGGAAGGTAGTGTGCATGGTAGCACACATTTGTTCCAGCAACAAGAAGTGATCACCGCTAGGAAAACAAGACCCTATCCTAAAATAACCGCAGCCACCACTATCTCTCAGGAAAAAAAAGCTTGGAGGCTTCGCTCAGCAGTAGAGTTCCAGCCTAGTAAGTGCAAGGCTCTGATTTTAAATCCCAGTACCACACACACACACACACAAAAGTGTAAATCAATGAATAAGAAATTGCCATTAACTATTAGAACTTGGGACCTCATTTAGATATAAAGTACTGTATAATTTGAATTGGTTCACAATCTGATCTTAGGCATCTATGACCAACCACCCAGAGGTCAACTAGAAATGAAAAAAGTTTCTAGGGCTTTGCCTAATGCACATCATCATATCTTAAGAGTTTAGTCAAAAACAAGCAAGGCATGAAAAGCAGGATATACTCTTACTGATGAATTCTCTTGAATATTAAACCTCATCAGATAAACAAATAGGAACCAATAAAATTTTTAGAGAAATATTCAGAAATAATTCATTAGATATTTCCATAAATATACATCAAGGTTAGGTAATATTTTTTAAGTAGCTGGAACAAAAAAATGTTACTCCTAAAAAAGTGAATGTCTGGTATTTTTTAAATGGATAATTCTCTTTTCACAACGTTTATAGTATTTCAATGACCGATGTGTATGTTGACACATTTTCTATTCAAGTGCATTGAAAATTGAAATGCAGAAGGCAGCTTAAAAAAAACCCAAAACTACAAACTCTCATTTTGACTAGTTTCTATCTTAATCATGTGACCCTACTAATTGGGGGAAAGTACAAATGCTCTTATCAGAAACTGTTTAATTTATAAACTCACAATTACAATCCAGGTTCTCTAAAATATAAGTTAATTCTGAATCCAGAATAATTTAAGGAAAACTGGAAATAAAAACATCACCAGTTTCCTTCAGGAACTAACACTGTAAGTGTAAATAAACGCTAACTTTCCAATAATTCCAACTCCTAGCCCTTCCATATTAACAAAAACCGTCTTTAACCCTGAAATGAATCGACTTCCATAGTAATGACAGTGCAAGCTAAGGTCCTACTTCACTGACATTTTACGTCAACATTCAAGCCTTTTGGGTGGAGGAAGGGCACAAAACCGTACCATTTCTTAATTAATGGCAATTACTCTACCATAATCCTACAAGTCATATCTCAACCCCAATGAAAACTATAAAACACTCTCTTCAAGACAGTTCCTTCCATCTTTCACTCAATACGTGGAAACAAATATGATCGAACACTTCCTTTCAGAAGTTCCAGTACGGTAATGCTGTACACAGATTGACACTCGGACAGTACTGAATAAACTAAGTCCCCTCTTTCAAGTTATGCAGTGGAAGAGCGGAACTCTTTGCAAACAGCTTTTGTGACTGCACTGTCTTCAACAGATGTAAAAGTGGCCTGCCCTTCAAAGTAGAAAAGATGGATTTAACCCAAGTATCTTACAAACACCAAACTTTTTCGTACAATATACAATCTAAAGAGAAAGAAAAGAAAGGGGGGGTAAAAAGGAAATGATAGGAAGAAATAAATGTGGTTAAAAAAAAGAGAGAGAGAGAGAAAGTATTTACCTACAGAGCCGTGATGGGGAAAGGGCACCCACACTCCCCAGGCCAGCCCCTCCATCCCTCCGCCAAGTCCTCTTCCTTTACAAATTTCGTTCAGCTGAGCAACGCCTCCTGTCTGGCCGGTGCCTCATTCACTACACGGCTTAAATAACTCACCACCCACCCAACCTCTCTCTACCCGGTGTTTTTTCCTTTCGCACCTTGACTTTTAACCCTCCCTAAACCGTTCAGCTCCCCAGCACGCCAACAACGACCCAACACGGGCTTTTATCCTTCGCATCCCCCCCCCTCCCCGCCCCGCGCGGCGTCGGGATCCGCACCTTCCCGGGGCCCCACGCCCCCCCCCCACGAGCTCCAGTAACTCCGCACCCGGACGCCCTCCCCGCAGGAGCAGGACCCCGAGGGCGCCGATCCATCACCCCTCCCGGGGCCCTTAAAAGTCCGCCAGGGCTGGGGACCCAAGGGCTGTCGTGTACACCCACCAGACGAAGTCGTTGCTTTTGTCCTCGTAGGAGTTGATGAGCCCATTGCAGAGCGGGGCGAGCGGAGGTCGCTTCCGGCCGCTGCCGCCGCCGCCGCCGAGGCCGCCACGGAAGGGGGCGACGGGGACGAGGATAAGGACGAGGAGGCGGAAGTCACCGAGGAGGCCGCCGAGGAGCCGGGGCTCGTCCCGGCGGAGCCCGACCCGGTCGGTCGGCTACCGGACATGGTGATGCCCTCTCCGCCTCTTCCTCCTCCTCCGAGCGCCGGGCCGGCCCGGAGGAGCGGGTCCGCGGACCGCGACCCCCCGCCGCCGCCGCCGCCGCCCCTCCGCTCTCAGCCGCCGTGCATCGTGACGGCGCGCGCCGGGAGGTGGGGCTGAGGAACAATAAAGTTGATGGGGGGTTTTGTTTTTTGTTGTTTTTTTTCTCAAGGAAACCACCCGATCGCGTCCGACGGGAGGGGGCGGAGGGAAGTGAGAACGCCGAGGGGAAGCCACCGCCGCTGCCCAGGCCGCCCGCGCCGCCGCGGTCCCGCCGCAGCCAACCCGGGCGCGCCGTGGCCGTCCGTGTGCGCGCACGCGGAGCGGAAGGGGCGGGACCAGCGCGGCGACGCGACTTCCGCCGCGGTCGTGCGGCGTCGGAGGCGTCTGCGGCGCGGCTGTGTTCTTTTGTGCTGTGTCGTGTGGAGCGGGGGACCCGCGGCTTTAGTGGAGCCAAAGGAAAGCAAGCTTGGAAATGACCAGAAGGAAGAGAGGGTGTGTTTGAAGGACTGCGAAGGTGGCGCGAAAGGAAACTGCGAGAACGCGCGCCAGGCTGCATTAGCTCCCGGGTTTCCCAGCGTCTGGGCCTCCTGGGTAAGTGGGAGGTGCTTGCGCGGAACTGTCGTAGCGCGCATGCGTGTCAACCCGCACATTCCTGAGCTGGGCTGGGAAGTGTCCCGGTCCCTCTCTTAATTTAAGAGTACTGGCAATGTGGTCCAATGACTCGTCTACGACGGGTGCTTCCGAATGGAGAATGATGGAGTCGGAAGCCAGAGACGCGGGAAGAATGGAAAAGCTTGGAGAAGCAGTTTTGAATGTCATCCGACTGAGTCACATCATCCAGCTGTGCAGATACCTAAGCGACTCCACATCGTTGTGAGCAATACATGTAATTTGAAGTCAGTGAAAGGCATTAATCAGAAAATAGCTAAGTCAGGACCCCGGTTAATGTGAATCTGACACAGTTCTAGCACAGCACTAGAAAGCTTAGCATTCACTATCAGAAAATGTGCAAATCACCAGAGAAGCAATACTGTTAGTACAATAAAAGATTCTAAGGACCTAAAAGGCATGACCCATGTCTGCCTTTTTCATTACGGTTCTTGACATAATGGTAAATACGTTATTCAAAAGCGATGAAGCACCACATAAAAGGAATGACTCCCAACATAGTTCTAGAGAACAATAGTATGATGACAGAATTGGAGACATCCAGGGAGTGGTTTAGTTTTGGTTGTGCTGAGTGGGTGTGGGATGAAACTACTTTTAATGAGCATATCCAGTCTCATTGAAAACAAAAGACTGCAAGAGAAAGTTCATGTCAGAAAAAATGTTGGAAAGTAGAAGGATAGTATGTCAATCACCAATAGTTAATTATAATAGGACCTGTTGTTTGGTGAGTTATCTTAGTATAGTATGAGTTGCAATCAAAAAATGTCCAAGTTCATAAAAGTTTATTTTGTAATTCCAGTTTTGGAGGCTGAAAGTCCAAGATTGGGTTGCTACATGTATTTGGTGTCTTGTAAGAGCAACATTAGCATCCAAACATCATAGAGAAATGGCAAGGAAAATACACCAGTACTGAAGGGGCTAGCATTTGGGGTGGCCTTTCTCTGTAGTAATCTAATCTTGAGAGAATAGCTGTCATAATTCTTCATTGAAAGCATTGGGCCAGTAGCAGTGGCATACACCTGTTATCTCAAAAGCAGAGATCCAAAGGTTCAATGTTCAACCAGGGCAAAAAAGTTAGTGAAGCAACTTCCCCCCATCTTAAATAGGACAAGTATTGTGACTCACATTTTTTTTTTTATCCCAGCTATTCAGGAGGCATAAGTAGGAGAATTGCAGTCTGAAGACAGTCCTGAGAGCAAAGCTCAAGACCCTAACTGAAAAGTAACTAGAGCAAAAAGGGCTGAGATCATACTCAAGTGACAGAGCCTCTTCCTAGCAAGCACAAGTCCCTTAATCAAAACTCCTGATCCCACCAAAGAAAAAAAGGAGCATTAATCCCTTTCTAGCCACTACACACTAGACATTGCCTTCCGCTAGGCACCATCACAACCAAGTTTTTAGCACATGAACTTTTGAGGAATACACAAACCTCATAAACATTTGGCTATACCTGTAATTCTCAAACATTGGTCCAGAGGTTCAGAGAACCGATTAAAAATAACTTCACCTTCAGATATTCTAAATCCATAACCTAAAGTGGGGGCTGTATGCATTTTTATCAGCAAACTTGAGAGTCTAAGTGTTGGTAGACGAACACTTGAAAAAAACTGGTTAATAATGTAGGGAGTGTAAAATTTGTAATATAGTCTCTTCTGTTTTTATTGATGGGATAGAAGCTGATACGAACCAACAGTGACATCTAGGTACAAGCCATCAGTGCTTCATATGAACTCTTTGGAACCTAACCAGTAAAATCTAAATTTGCAGAAGAAAGTGAAGGAAATGTGATGCAACAGAATTTCCCTTTATACCAGATTAGGGTGTAAACAGTACATAAATACATATGAAAGGTTAGAGTATTTGAGGCAGTGACCATTTGTTGCTTGTTTTAGAGCAGAGCAACACGTGGTGCTAAACCACCTGTGTGCCCTTATAAGACCTGCAGATCCTTAGCTTGGGGCTCTCCTAGGCTCCGCTGTGTCAAAGTGTAGGACGAGGCTCGAGCTGCAGCCCATTTAAATAAAACAACTGTAGAGTCTGACTCTCGGTGGTCTTCTTGCGGGGGGTCCTGCAACCTTGGCATAACACATATAGTCCTAGTATCTACTGGCATGATCTGTTATGAAATCAGAAGAAAAAAGAGGAAACATGGCTAAATACATATATAGAGAATAAGGAGAAAAAAGCAGGCAAGATGACTCAGGAGAAATAGAAGGGAATATTTTTTTTAATGGGAGGAAATGTAAAATTAAAAACTAAGCCCAAATAAAGGAATTCCATTGTGAATCACAAAATATGTTAACCATGTGAATCACAAAAATGACATGAAAAATTCAAATCGATCAAAAAATAGGGTGGAATTAATAAGACTGAACTGCGCAGAAGTATCTGAGGTGTCATCTAGTGAGATAAGGCTTCCCATCCAAAGTTGACTCTGTCCTTTGATAACCAGGGCCCCCAAAAGATCTTCACTAAAAAGCTTTGTCTATCTAACATACCTGGTTTTCTGCCTGTCCTGCATGATGGTTATCTGTCTCTCTTAAATGAACAGTTTTCTCCTGTTAACGTGGTTGCCCTTTTAACTGAAGTAACCAACATGCTATTAAAAAGCTAAACTGACAACAAAAAGAAGAAATGTTTATTTTCTGTCTGTGAATGGAAGGAAAAATAGAAGTTTTCTGAACCTAGTGTAAAATGCATCTAACAGAAAATAATATGTGAAGTGAAAATTGTGAAGTGAAAAGCTCCCATGTATTTGTTAAAACCAGAGGGAGATAGATGATTCTTCTACACATATTATTGAAGAGAAACCCTTTTTTAAATGCAAGAGCAATACTCACAAGACAGTATGTTGGAAATAATCCGTACAACTTTGCAGGGGAGGAATAGGGGATAACAAGTTTGGCAAGAAATACATTTATTACCATACTTATGTAACTGTAATATCCTTATGTACATCACCTTAACAATAAAAAGGTATTCCAATCATATACTGTACAGTTGTCCCTCACTATATCACGGTTCACTTTCTGTGGCTTCATTGTATCACTTTAATACTGTATCGCAGAGTTTTTGCTATATTGCAGGATTTATGCAATATATAGGTATTTATATAGTTATGATTTTTAATTTTTTGCTTAAAATTTTAAAACTATAAAAAATGTTAAGGTTAATAAGAAAGTAGGAAAGGTTTATAGGAGAGCGGGAAGGATTTATAAAGCCTTATATATAAATAATGAAATGAATATAACACTGCTACTTTGTGGATTTTCACTTATCTCAGGAGTCTCTGGAATGTAACTCCCACAATTGGTGAGAGATTTCTGTAATCTTAGCTATTCAGGAGACTGAGATCCAGAGAGTAATTGTTCAAAGCCAGCGCAGAAAATGTCTTATTTCTAACATAATTAGCAAAACACCAGACTAGAAGTGTGGCTCAAGTGGTAGAACATAAGTACAACATGTAAACAGCAAGCACCCAGACCCTGAATGCAAACTCTGGGACTGAAAAAAAAAAAAAAAAGCCTACACAACTTGTTCATTGGATGAAATGTTACCATTAACTTTTTATAAAATTACAATCATTTTTAGGAATGACAAATTAATAGCACTGATATCCTTATGAGTCAGTTATATTTTTCAAAGTTAATTTTCAGCTAATTTTGGTGGCTCAAGCCACCACCCAGCTGCTTGAGAAGTAGAGATGGGGAGATCGAAGTTTCAGGCTAACCCATGCAAGAAAAATTTTTCAAAAGCTTCTCATCTGTATGAACAGCTGAGAGTGTGGTGCACACCTGTCATCCTCAATAACATGAAGCACAGGTAGCAGGATAATAGACTAGGTCAGGCATAAAGTGAAACCCTATCTCAAATCTATTGGGGCCAAAAAGGGTTAGACATGTGGCTCTGGTATAGTGCCAACCTGCAAGGCATGAGGCCCTGAGTTCAGTTCTGAGTACAGCCAAAAACAATTTTTTTTATTAAAGCACCTTTTTTTTTAACAGTCTGTTGTGAATAATTTTTTGTCAAGACAGTTGTAAAATATGGTCTGGGCAATTGGAAGTACTGTAACAATGAAGGATGATAGTAAGTTGCACTGTATAGATGTAAAGGAAGACAAGTTATTCAATAATTTCTCAG